TTCCTGGCGCCGGCGTGCGGCGACGACCTGACGTTTGTCGAGCGCTTCCTCCACCTGCTCGGGGCCGACGCGCACCCCGTGTTCGCGCGCGCGCTCGAGCTGCTGCTGCTGCTGCACGCGGACCACGAGCAGAACTGCTCGACGGCGACGGTGCGGCAGCTGACGTCGTCGGGCGTGGACCTGTTCTCCGCGCTGAGCGGCGGCGTGGCGGCGCTGTACGGGCCGCTGCACGGCGGGGCCACCGAGGGCGTGCTGCGCATGCTGCAGCGGATCGGGAGCGTGGAGCGGATCCCGCAGTTCCTCGCGCGCGTCAAGGGCAAGCAGGAGAAGCTGATGGGGTTCGGACACCGGGTGTACCGCAACTACGACCCGCGGGCGCGGATCATACGGGACGTGGCGCACCAGGTGTTCGCGCGGGTCGGGAGTGAGGAGCCGCTGGTCGAGGTGGCGGTAGCGCTGGAGCGGGCGGCGCTGGAGGACGAGTTCTTTGCGAGTCGCAAGCTGTTCCCCAACTGCGACTTCTACTCGGGGCTCGTGTACAAGGCGATGGGGTTCGAGCCCGGGTACTTCCCCGTGCTGTTCGCGCTCGCCAGGTGCGGCGGGTGGGTGGCGCACTGGAACGAGTTTCTGGACGACCCGGACCGGCGCATTGCCAGGCCGCACCAGAGGTTTGTGGGCGAGGTCGGGCCGAGGGAGGTGCCGCCCGTGGATGAGAGGGAGGAGGGCGTGAGTGGGGTGGTGGTGGAGGACGAGAGGGGTATGGTGGCCAAGATGTGAAAAGTAGATTTTTTTTGGATTTTAGATTTTGGAATTGTAAATGTTACAGTAAAGGTGTGCCCAGCAGTTGCTGACAGATTCTCGAGAAACATTTTAGCACTGCTGTTGAGTGGCTCATGTCAGGTGGGTTGGTTGTCTCGAGCTGCATGCTGGGGTTGTTTGAACAGGCCCTTTCATTTGCAAACAGTTGTTTGAACAGGCCATGCGAATCTGAAGGATTTCAGTGACGGACCGCGAGGACAGACTGTCTGGAATACAGCCTATCATCCGCTATTACTTCCTCGAACCTGTTCTTCGAACGACTATTCATCGTTGACCGCCCCCGTCACAAAGCATAATAACGCTGTGGGGAGGTGTCCTCATGGTCAACACGTGTAGTATGGTGGCGCTCCTAGACTTCTCTGACCAATCAGGTGAGACGTAGTATGCATGGGGGGTCCCGTGTCTGACCAATCAGGGAATTAGGGGCTTAAAAAACTGATGCCGCGTCGAAACTCAATGCGATCTACTCCAACAAACCGCAAACATCGCAAACATCTTACGCACACATCCCCGCCTGCTGCAGTTGATTCAGGAGTCAGGAGTCCTGCCCCGCTCGCTAGCAGGCGCTGGGAGCGCCCATATAAAGGGGTCGCCACGGGGCTGTCACCTTTTAATATACAGTACTGGTTCTAAAACCCCGGGAAATTTTTCGCGATCATACAGTGCCGTGCAGGCCTTGCACGATGCATTCGAAAAAGTGGAGCATCACTCTTCGCTTGAGACAACACTTGCACATCTACTGCACATATATAATCGCACACATCAACCACCTCCGCAACTCCCCTCCACCCTCCCCCCCCCTCTCTCCCATGCCTGCCCACCCACCGCACTCCCTCCTTCCTCATTGCTAACGGAACGCCTACCGCCGCTCCATTCTCCCGCTAGCTATGGCCGAGCACTCTTCCCTCTGGGCCTGGCTCAACCCCACTTTTGGACTCGTCGGACCTATCCTCGCCACTGTCGTCGGCCTTTTCCTCAAATGGGCTTTTGCTTACTGCCGCCGTCGAACATCACCTTCACCTGCCTCCCCCGCCCCGACGTCTCACCACTCTCCCCAGCCCTCCTCCGACCCTCGCCCTCGCGTCGTCGTCGGCCCCGACTCCGACGCCCATGTCTCCATCTTCCTCAACTCCACCCGCCCCGCCTCGCATCGCTAACCACTTCCCACCCTCATCTTCTCCATCCCCGCTTCACTTGCATGCCTTGGTCTTGTTCATCCATCAGCTCGTACCGCTGAGCGTCCAAGCCCCATTCACCTTCCGCCCGCCTTCGTCTCTACCTTGCATACCTTCTCTATCATCACTTACCCGTACATCCCCTGTACCTTTACATCAACCATATGCAGATCGAACAACTCTTTCACTCCTAGCACCATTGACGACGACACAGGCGACGCCTCAGCTCACAGTCGGATTGGCAACGTGTTGCACGATAGAGTCATGCCACGTGTCACACCTTGCAGTACCACCTCCGTTCACCTATATGCCGTTACAGATCTGTACGTCACATATCGTTTCCAATTCTGACTGCCCTTCCTGTCGGAGCATCACACATGAGACAGGAAGCGCCTGCTCCTCGCTTCCACTTGTACGCACTCCACTGGCTGTGCAAGTGACATGTCCCCAGTGTTACCCTCTTTGGTGACTCACGCTGCCCCACAGTGCGGCGGTTTTGATCTGGACTTGTGTTTGAGGATTAGTGTCCTCGTGAGGATTGGGCATACAATACTTCACTGCTGCCCCTGAAGTGCATTGGGGTATTGCGGAAAAGATTTGTGGGCCGCCTGGTACATGTGGCAACGTCGAGCATGTAGCTGCTTATGATCTGTAGAGGATCAGCCTCAGTATCGAAACCCCATAAAGGCTCAGTCGTTTTTGCTGACTGACTTCACTTCATTTGTTGTTCCCTGTAGTCTTGCATAAAGTATACATTTCAAAAGGCATGGCAGCGGTGTACTAGGAATATGTTTATACTTTCTTTTCCGAGTGGCACCTTCTTCCGTTGACATCGCATTTATCTTCTCTGTCTCAATGCCTGCTGTGTCAAGCTCTCACGAGATCGTGTTCCGGGTTAGATGCGATGTTCGTGGATGCCTGTATCGGTGTTTCTTGTTTTTGGAGGAAAAACGCACCGCCTATCCTCTTTGTCTCAAATTTGGTATGTCACGAAAGCAAGTGTTTGTGGAATAGAACAAAAAACATTCAAGATACATCATATTCTCTTCATCCTAATCCGTCCTCCAGCGTCTGGTCGCGCTCTAACAAACTCTGGTCCCTGACGAACACGTTGCAGCATTACGTCTTCACGCATAACGACACCAGGCTCGACACGAGCGAACATCATAAGCTGAGGACGACAGGGAACTAGTACAGGACGCCTGCAAGTACCCCCACCAGTCTGCTCTTTCCGTAATCATGGCAACTGCTGGTGCACACGCTGCGCAAAATATTTTCATTTTCAGTAAGGTCGCGAGCACTATTCAAATGCTTCGTCCTCACAAAATTCAGGATATGACCTTGATTCCTGTATGCATAGTCTTTTGTGAACGCATAATTGAGGTCGTGGGCAGAGGAGAGGACAAGGCAGTGAGGGAGATGCAGCCAAATGGGATGCAGACCCCATATCCACAGCTTTCCGTGGTGCCATATTTCTACTACAGTATACAGTGCCTCCTAAGATATGGTGCTATAGCGTGACATACCTCTAGCTATGGCACTATTGGGGGGATGGCACTATAGAACGGAGGCTCAAATACATATATTTGGGGACAAAGCACACTGCTAACACAAACACAACAAAGCCTGTATAACACAACTAAATAACTTCATCCTTTGAGTACTGAACCATGCCGGATGATGCACGTGTGAGCGTATGATAACCTGTGCCCGAGGGTGAGCCATAGCACTATATAGAGGGAAGCACTACTAAAGTAGGCACTATTGAGCGAACCCCTCCTGTACGTCTCTTCCTCAAAAAAGCACTCACTTCCTTATGGCGCGTGTGCTTGTGTCTTGCTGCGTTGAGGAGCGGGATAGGCCAATTACAGGTACATGCTGCATGAGGACAAAAATAGTACATGAGAACGAGGGCCTATGAGCACTTTGAAGTTCCGTCCGCCATTCGCGAAGAGCGGATGCCTCAGCAGGAAAGACCGTGCGGAAGGTTCGGGAGCGAAGGGGAGGGTCAGTTTACAGGACGGGAAAGATCCTGTGATTTTCTCTCTCGCCACGGTAGCTAGGTAGAGTGTGTACCGGACCTAGGGCTAGCTTCTCTCTAGGCGGTCAAACAGAAAACATCTGACGAACAGCAGCATGAGATCCGAAAAGAGTGACTATCTCTTTGCTAGGCCCTCGTCCAATCCCTGCCTCACACCTCCATTGCCCGCCATCCACGTCCCGTTTCATCTTCCCTTTCCCCCCCCCCCCCCCCCCCCTCCCCCCTCGCTCGGCAACTCCGCAAGAGGAGCCAACAACTTGCTTTTTCAAAAATAAGAATAATAAAATAAATAGAAAAGCCGCACCGACGGCGTCTCAGCTTCTACTTCACAGTAGGACACAAGTGTCTGACTCCACCATTACGTCGCGACCTTGACGCAGACGGGGTTTCGAAATTCAGCTGATTGCTCCTGTGTAAAGCCTTGTTCTCCTTCTCTCTCACACTCCACACAGAGAGAGGTTGCCAGACCGTCCGGTGGGCAACATGGACAGGTGTCATCCCTGTCGAATGTTCAGGGGAAAAAAGGTGCAAGCAATGCACCACGGATGGCTTGCACTTCCGATTGCGCAGGCATGGGGCACGTAGAGCAATGTAGTTCAGTATAGAGCAAGTTACGTACAAGGGAAACTCTTCGAAGGTGTGTGTATTTGAGTTGATAGTCGATGCAATTTCAAAGGCAATGGAGTGGCTACGAAAAGTCTAGACAGAACGATTGCATTGCGAGAAGCATCAGAGGAGGCAAGGAGCGGGCGAGGGGCCGGGGTCGTGAGGGAATAAACAGAGGTGGAGCGAGCTGCTCTGCGCAAGAGGGAGGAGTCCAAAAGTTGAAGGTATCGTCTCCAGGCGCCTCCGCGAAAAGCGTGCGCCATGCGCCACTCGAACTCTTGCTTGGTCGCAACCGCCTTGGGATCATGCTGTTCGGAGTCTACACGCGTTTGTTGAACTGGTAAGGAAAAAAGGGAAGGCAAAAACAGAACGGGGACCAAGATGGTGCACCCCTCTCACTGCGGTGAGAGTTGTAGGTTTTATAGAGATGTATAGAACCTGTATTTGAAAGTTGACGCTTGACAACGCCCTACTTGATTTTTCGTGGAGGATACTTTGAATGCCACGCAATAATATGGCGAAAATTGCACACGGATGGAGCAGTGCTCGCCGTGCATCCCCGAGCATGCGTAACCACTTCGGTATCAAGCCACGCAACACGGTGGAGATCCGAGATTCGTGAACACCTCCCCATTCCTTGTGAAAGACATAAAATGATTTTTCAGGAATTTGTTAAACGGACGAGGCTAGGCGTTTCTGTCGCGCAGTACCGGAGTCTTTGATCTCGTTGATGAATTCACGCATTAGGCTGGGAATATCCTCACGCATTTTTGAAAGACTCTCCCAACCCGGATCTTCGTCCTCAAAACCAATCCACTTGACGAGTACTTCGGGTTCGCCGTTATGTAACCGTATGTCTTGAATTTCCTCTACCACACAATATTCGTTTTCCTGATATGCTAGCTGGGCTTTGCATGTTTCATCTATGTTGAATGCGCTGTTGCGGAAGAAACGGAGGCGAACGCCATGAACTGTTTTGGTCTCACCAGTACGCAAGTCCCTAATGACAAAAAGGAAATCTGAGAGTACCTTAACAATTTGGAAAGGGCCCCTCCAACGTAGCATCAACTTAGGAATTCGGCCTCGTTGGGTCGTTCCCCAAAGCACGTAGTCTCCCACATCAAAGTTAGTCTCGC